ACCAAGTTTTCTCAACTTGAGGGGGAGAAAAGATTAGCTAGAAAAAAAAATATGAAATACATTATCATTATCTTCGGTTACCTCAAATAGCAATATAAATAAGAAGTTCATCAAATGCATTCATAAAATATTGTAAAATATCTGCCATATGCAATTAATGATCAAAATAAGAATTATTAAATCTCATATTCTAGCTAAAATGCTCCAATGATTGTAAAAGGAAATGAGATATGCCTGAAGCATTAAAATTTAATCATCAGTTCAGGTACCTGAAAGCAATAAGGAGATTTAAAAAGTTTAAGTCACAATTAGAAAAATGGAACCAAAATTACAACATAAAGTTATCAACAATAACTTTGATGATAATGTCATGTGATCAAATTTGGATCTTATACATAGATATGTTCTGGAAAGTAGATGGAAATATGATTGTCGAAGGGAAAAAGGAAAGTGATGCAACATAAGTAGAATTACATTTAAATATATGAAAGTCATGGACCTATAGTAGTTTAAACACGTGAAGTGTATAATTATTATGAACATTCATGTGAAAATTATTATGAGATATATGAGCATTTATGTGAAAATAAGGATTTTCAGAATGGTCTAATAATGATCATAACCAAGTATGTCATCTTGTGGTGAATGTTTATATATATATCATTAAGCTAACAATATATGAAATTGCAATATGATGGGTCTATTGGATGCTATAGCATATGCATATGATTCACTAAATAGTAACATTTACATGAGAATCCTTGAAGGATAAAAAATGCTAGAAGCATGACTAATTATGTGGATAAAAAATTATTTGTTTTCCTAGTAAGGTTTTTAACAAGGCAACTTCAATATATATTGTATTCTCTTTTTCTTTCACTATGTTTTTATTTCATTAGGTTTTTTCTAGCAAGGTTTTAATGAGGCATAGTATTTATTTATAGATATCCAAGGAAGAATGTTATGGATATTATAATTTGTTAATGTCCATAACTTCATAGCCTGTCAAGATTCCATCTCATGGTTAATGCCGTTTACCCTATAGCTCTTAAATTGGTGGTTTTCTAATATTTATTTTCATAACCTCCAATGATTTTATGTTGTATCATAATATATGTAGAATAATTCTTTTATAGGTTAAAGTGCAATTTTTTTCTTAAATTATTTTCGGAGGAGTAATGGTACCCTAAACTATTTATTGTAGCAATACAGTCCTTAAACTATTCCAAACGAACAATGTTGCTCTCATCATTTAAAAATTATAAAATTAAATAAAAATAAAATTATAATAATATTAAATATATATATATATAATTATAATAATATTAAATAAAATAATATTAAAACCTATAACTATCGACAATTTTATTACAAAAAAAAAGGTCTCAAATCATATTTTATACATATGAATTGTTCAAAAATAAAGTTTGCTTTTAGTAAGATCTAATTTTTAAATTTTTTCTATTTTTTTAAAATTTTTTAAGTTTTTTTAATATTATATTAAAACCGATCAGTTTTTTGAAAACCGCTCTAGTTCTCAATTCAACTTCGGTTCTTGACTTAATAGCAACTTAACTCTATTCCAATCCAACTCAATCATGAAAATAGTTTTTTGGATCCAAATCAATTCGTTGATGACAACTGCAATTAATAGTCATAGGTGCAAATACAGATATTTTTGAGTCTACTTATATCTAACTTATTCAAGATCTACTTATATTTGACAAGTTATAAATTATAATTTATAATATTATAAATCTATGACATTTTATTAACATACTATAAATTTTTTTCTTATATTTATTTTATCTATATTTATTATTATAATTTTATATTTATATAAACATTTAATATCATTTTATTCAATATTATTATAATTTTATTTTTATTTAATTTTATTATTTTTAAATACTGAGGGTAACATTGCTCCGATTTAATTAGTTTAAAGGCAATATTGTTGCGATAAATAATTTAGGAGCAATATTATTTCTTCGAGAATAGTTTAAGAGCAAAATTGTACTTTAACTCTTATTTTATTTATAAAATTGTAACTCTCATATAAAGTTGGAGGCTTATAAATAAAGGTCATGTATCGTATATTTGTGATACCCAATTGCATGAATATTAATCTTCATTTCTCTCCAATTCTTTGTTGTAATCTTCATGTCTTTCATCTTAATATCTTATTTTCTTTTTATTTTCAAACTAATGATTGCATTATGTGCAATATTGGATTGGATCTATTTATTCTCATGTCAAGCTGAAAAAAATATAGTAAAAGAAATGGGAATGCATATTATTTCATTGGTTGTAAAATCGGACTGGATCGATTAGTTGAATCGATGACCCAGTCATGTGTTTGATATAATTTTTTATTTTAATGTGGCATTAGATGACCCAAGTTAGCCCAGATCAACTCACCAAATCCGATAAATCAAGTGGTTTGGGCGGATAGAAAATAAAAAAGTAGGTTAATATCTTTTCCTACTCTGGCTATCCTTTTTTTTTTTTGGTAGCTGCTCAACTCAGTTGTTAGCCATTCGGTGAAGACCCAAGAGGAAGAAGAGAGAAGCATATAAAAAATAAGGAAAAAAAAAAAGGAAAAATTAAAAGGAAGGAAGGAAGGAAGGATATGCAAATCACTAACTAGAACATTGCCTCACTGCACACACCAAAATCATGGGAAAAAATGGAGGCATAATGATAGATGGATTTTAAAAAATTAATTAATTTAAATTAAGTTATATGTATTAAAATTTATAAATTTAAATTTTAACTTTTAATTTTATAATTTTATTGTAATGAATTTATAATTTATTTTTTTAATTTTAATATAATTAAATAATAAGTAAATTTATTTTTTCTGATAAAATTTGAAATATAAATTATAAATTTATTATGATAAAATTATAAAATTAAAAATTAAATTTGTAAATTTTTAAAATTTAACATTTAAAATTTAAATTAAATTAATTGATAGACTTACCTGTCGTTGCTCAAAGAAGGAAGAGGAAAAATGAAACAAGAGACGTCTCGGCAATGTGAAAATAAAAGTAGAATGAAGAGTTGTGGGGTAGAGAGGGTAGAAAAGTCGCTTTTTATATCTGAACGCAGAGACATTGCCTCGACAATGAAAAAGAAAAGCTGGCATACATGGAAAAAACGTGAGCTGCGGAAAAGACGTTTTTGGTCCATGAATGGTATAATTTTATATTAGATTCATATAATTAATTAATTATCTCATATTTATTATAAAAATAAAATAAATATTCTCTTCATTTAAAAATATAAAATATTTTTAAAAAATTTAAATTTTTAAAAATATAAAATATTTTTAATTTTTTAAGATATAATTATTTTTTAAAAGTATTCTATTAATAATAATTTTATATTTAGTGAAAAGTAAGTAATTATTTTATTGAGAGTGAAATTTAATTAAAAATATTTTACATTTTTTAAGAGAGGGAGTATAAAATTATTATTTTATTACTTAAATTTCATCACTATTTAAATTTTAGTTTTTTTATTACAATACTTTTATTTAAAGTATGTTTTATAAGATATTAAATCTTTATCATGGATGAATGTGTAGAAATTAATATATTTTTATTTAAATTATATTATTTATTATAATTAATTTAAATTCAGTTTAACTATAGTTTAACTTTGATTGAACTTCTAATTTTAGCCAGTTTAATAACAGTTCTTAATATTATTATCCACAAAAATTAAAATAGATAAAAAAAAAAAAAAAACGAAGCAAACAGATAAGGATGACATTAATTCATTGCACGGCATGCAAATTTGTGCGGCTCGCGTCAACATTATATGATTATGATGATGAGGAATTCGATCCACTACACCAGCCTCTAATAATACATTATATATCGCAACACAGATCCATTATCGTCGTTAATCTAACTTCTTATCAACATTTTGACATTTTTTGAAAAAAAATGCTGAACACACTCCGGGCATTTAAAAATACAAAATATTTTTTTAAAAAGTTAAATATTTAAAAAATATAAAATATTTTTAATTTTTTAAAAAGTAATCATTATTTTTTTTAAAAGTACCTCTATTTATAATGGTTTTATATTTATTGTAGGTATTTAATAAGAATAAATATAAAAAGATAGGGTTAGTTTAAAAATAAAAAATTACTTTATTGAGGGTGAGATTAGATTAAAAATGTTTTATATTTTTAAACAGAAGAAGTATTTTTATGAAGTTTCACAACTCTTTACCATTTCCATATATGAAGACAGAATATTATTCTTGCAAAAAAAAAATCTATTTTATAAGTTTTTAAAATGTTTTTTAAAATTTTTGAAAAAAATAACATTGAAAAAAGAAAAAAAAGAGTTTTGATTGTTTTAAACAGGTTCTAAAAATAATTTTTGGTGAATGTGAGAGAATGTCATAAAAATAAGATTTATACAAGATATCTTAAATTTTAAAATAATCAAATAATAAATTTTTTTATAAAACAGAAATCATTGAAGATACCATATAATTTAAAAATAATTAATTAATAACTAATTTTTAATTATTGTAATTAAACATAAAATAGAATTATTTTTTTATAAAATTTTTAAACTATCTAAAAATGACTTATTTTTAATCTTAAACAAATGAACTCAAAATTTCATAACAAATAAAGAGTTATTGTGAAGTTTAATAAAAAAATTCAATATATATAAAATTTTTTGAAACACCAAAAGATATAACAATATATATTGGAGCTATAAAGAACAAAATTTCTAGTTATCATATTTTTATTATAAATATATTTCGACTAACAAACGTTTGGTTCTAATGGAAAGAGTTATGACTATTTAAATGCACACAAGATCTTGATTTGAGCTTTAGAGGTTAAATTTATGAAATTTTTTCATACATATATATATATATATATATAAAATTAGCCCAATTCTATTCAACCAGGGAATTCTATACCAACTCTTAACTCATAAAACAGTGACGCACACACGCTGGCCTATTTAAGGAAAGTAGGAAATGAGAAAGCAATAAGCAAGTTTATTTGTGTGAGTGTCGGAGTGAGATATGGAATGTAAGAAACCAGTGAAGTTAGGAAGGTCACTTCTGGTACCTTCAGTTCAGGAATTGGTAGCAAAGGAGTCCTTAAACAAAGTTCCTGAAAGATATGTTCGTCATGGTCATCATGAAGCTTATGATTCTTCATTATTCCAATCCATCACAGATTCTTCTTCTCTTCAGTTTCCCATAATTGACCTCTCTAAGTTATCTTCTCCAAATTTGAAGTCCTCTGAGCTTCAAAAACTCCACCTTGCATGCCAAGATTGGGGCTTCTTTCAGGTCTTTGTTATGTCTTTATTTGTTTTAGATGCCTGCAAATTATCCTTATTCATCTTTAGTAGGCTTTTAGGTTAATCTCAAATTAGGACCTCATCAATCACAACTAATTTACAGATCTCATCATTACTGAAAATTTTTGAAAAGTCCCACTCTGACATTTATTACTTCATTATGAGATCTATACCTGTCATTTTATTGATGATTGATATTGATCATGTAGGTGATAAATCATGGAGTGGAAGAGTCAATAGTTGAAGGAGTGAAGAAGGGAATCCAAGAATTCTTCAATCTTCCAATGGAAGAGAAGAAGAAATTTTGGCAGACAGAAGAAGACGTTGAAGGTTTTGGTCAAGCATTTGTGGTTAGTGAGGAGCAGAAGCTTGATTGGGCAGATATGTTCTACATCATCACTGATCCTCCTTCTATGAGAAAGCCCCACCTCTTCCCCAATCTTCATCTTCCATTCAAGTTCCTCTCCCTCCCTCCCTCTCTTCACTTTATTTATTTTATTCTACTGTTCAGTATCTTGGAAAACCAGTGGGTATTATTACAACCATTTATCTGGACTAATCCAAGCCTCTCTACACGAGACTCTTGTTATTAATGGTGGCCTCGTGAATACCTTGGGAATGACTTTGATCATTTTATTTAACATAATTGCATATCTTAGAACTTGACCTTGAAACCTTAGGATAAGATGATTTAACTTCTCTAACCAGTCAAATCAAGCGTCCATTAGTTCTCTCTCTACACTTTAATTATAGGCTCAATTTCACAAAACTTCCTTGAATTTTTAGTCATGTACAAACAATTACATGACCTTTAAAACTTGATACAAAAACTCTTGGGAGAGTATCATTGAAAGACCCCAAAGAATTTAATTTCTAACAAGAACTTTTAACAAGTAAACATTAATAATTAACAGAATAAAGTTATTGGTTTAACATATATTCAATCTATACAAGTCTTTGTTAGGCATTAAATTTTTTTAGAGATCCTTCACTAATATTCTCCCAAAACTCTTTCAACTTTCCAACTTACATAGATAGCTTTCTTGAGGATAATAAGTCAGTTATTTCATTGATGATGTGTAAGACAATTAGTGAGTTTAATATCTATATATAAATTTGACTTTTTAATGCAAGTAATCCTATTACGTTTTAAGTAATCATATTATTTAGAATGTTTTGACTAAATTACGTACACAAGAACATGTAGGCTATACAATGATTGACATTTAGAACAATTGTGTGGTGAATAATCATATTATTTAGAATATACTGATAAACTACGTGCTCAAGGACAAGTAGGCTAAACAGTGATTGATATTTAGAAAAAATGGTGAGGTGAATAATAATATCATTTAGAATATATTGAATTAAATACTCAAGGACAGTGTAGGCTAAACAATGATTGATATTTAGAACAAATTGAACGACTCCTCCTTTACAATAACCGATTCTCCCTTGTATTTCTTCTAGTTTTATAACATGCAGTGAATACTTGCAGGGATGACTTAGAGGCTTATAGTGTAGAAATGAGAAAGCTAGCATTGAAGATGCTTGATGCAATGGTGGAAGCACTAGGAATGGAGGAAAATGAAATGAGAGATCTATTTGAAGAAGGTTGGCAATCAATGAGGATGAACTATTATCCACCATGTCCTCAACCAGAGCTTGTGAATGGTCTGAGTCCTCATTCAGATTCAATTGGTCTCACCATTCTCCTTCAAGTCAATCAAGTCAACCAAGGCCTTCAAATAAAAAAGGATGGCAATTGGTTTCCAGTCTCTTTTCTCCCAAATGCTTTTGTGGTCAACATTGGTGATATGTTGGAGGTAATTAATCAAATCTTTTACAATCATTTAAGAGTTCTTTTTGTCCCTTTTTGCTCAAAAATCAGTTTAGCCTCTTTTAGAATAAAGTTGAAGGATCATATATTGCAGTGATACTTTTAAAAAGGAGAAACGAATTTAAATATAAAGAAATCTCGTGAAATCACAAAATTATTTTGAAATCTTTTGTCATTTACTGAAGCTATTGATTACTACTGCTAGATAGTTGTTAATTATCATTGCTTAGTCGTTAATTGAACAACTTCATTAACAATTATCTAGTAGTAATTGACAACTTTAATAAAACAAATAAATTGATAGCTTCGATAAAAAACATGAGAGACTTCAAAGTAATTTTATGATTTCATGGGAATTTTTTGTATTTATATTCTTTGTGAGGGACTGAGAATGATTTTCCAAAAAAAAAAAAAGACACACTCATATAGAATGCATGATACAATGTGATGTACATAAGATGGGGTAGGAAGAGGAATTCATGATTAATTTATATGTAATAAAGTAAAGCATTTGCATTTTTCTCGCTCAATGATTTAATGAATTTAACAAGAAAAATATTTTTAATTCTATATTTTAATTCTTTGTATGGGACCTGGGAGTGATTTTAAAAAAACATACTCATATAGAATACATGATACAATAAGATGCACATAAGATGGGGTAAGAAAAGGAATTCATGATTATATGTATTAAAGTAAAGCTTTTGCATTTTTCTTTTGCCCAAAGATTTGATGAGTTCAACAATTTTTTTTTTAATTATATGTTGTTATGGACATTATATATATAGGTTGTGACTAATGGAAAATACAAGAGCATAGAACATAGAGCAACAGTGAACTCAGTGAAAGAAAGGATCTCGATAGCCACATTCTGTTGTCCTAAGTTAGATAGAGATTTGAGGCCAGCACCAAGCCTTATAGATCCGGAAAGACCAGCTTTATTCAAAACAGTTCGTGTTGCTGAATTCTTGAGAGGTTTTCTCTCTCGAAAGCTCATTGGAAAATCTTATCTTGATACCATAAGGATCCAAAATGATTAATTGAAAATAGCTAGACGATAGGGAGAATGATAATAAAGTTTCAAAATAAATAATTTATGACATTTAGGTCGACAAATTTTTCTCAAAAATAAGTTGCAAATATTAATTTAAATAGTTGCAAATTTGAATCTTAATTGTAAAATAAGATTTATATTTAGAATTTAAATCTTATTTACAATTTAAACTCCTGAATTTGTAACTATCTGAATTAATATTTACAACTAATTTTATAGAAAATTTTGTGTTTTGACCTACTTGTCATATATTTATTGTTTTGGAATTGTTCTTGCTAGAGGATATGATGCATGCAGATATTACTATATACGTTGCTCAATAAACATAATAAGAATTGGCATGCTTATGGTCATAGAATGAGCACATAATATTCTTGTGCATTTAGTATGCATGTATCTTGTTCAATTACGACCTTGGACATTAAGTGGTATATACTTATTATTTTAATGTGCAAAATGTTATATGTAGTTGGATATAGTGTCAGATTAGATTTAGATAGAATGATAGTAAAGTCTCAAAGTAAAAAATTATTTAATAACAGTCATGTCTTTGACAAATTTTCTAAAAAATAAAATAAATGTCTTATTTATAATTAGAAATTATAAAAAAAATAATTATTATCGATATTTGTAACTTATTTTGAAAAAAATAATTGAAATTCTAACTGTTATTAGTTAATTTTTTCTTTTGAGATTTAATTGTTATTATCCCTTGGATTTAAATACAATCACTTGTTGATTTTGCGTGTAAGCAAACCATATGTTGCTTCTTGAAAATTTATTAACTGTAAAAGTAATTTCTTAAGTAAATATATAATAATTATGGAATATTCAGAAACTATACATTGTATAAATTATGAATAGTATATTCACTATTCAGGCCCTCGTTCTCATTATACGTACGTTTTCTTCCATGGTTTTAAGTTGCAAAGGGGCGAAGTTGGAAGAAGCTAATTATTATTATTATTATTATTTTTGGGCAAAGGATAGCTGATTAAATATTTTGCAACTTCAATTTTCTGCAATTTACTATATCTTTCACAATACTCTCTTTAATCTTATTTATAAGTTACTCTTAGTATTTTCACAATAAATAAGAAAAATCTTAAACCTCATTAATTTTATTTAAAATTTTAAAAATTTTTTAACTTTATTCCTATTAAATATGTATATTTTAAAAATAAAATACTCTAACATTTAAAATAATAAAATTTCCAACGCTTAATAGGATCAAAAGGATAAAAATGATCATAATAATTATTAAAATACTTTATAAATAGGATTAAAATAAATATTTTTTTTCAATTCCATAAACAGCACAAGAGGAGTATGCAACTTTTCCTGCTTGTTCTAGTTGGCCTTTCATGTACATTGAAGGTCAAATTGTGCAACTTTTCTTTCATGTTCTGGCATTTTATCTTCTTTATACTGCACTTTTTTCTTAATGGCCCCATGGTTTTAAATTTTCCTCATGTGAAACCACTTGTAGAACAAAGAAGACGTCTTGCAAATTAATATTCAAGAAAATTTTATGATATAATAGTTTTGAGACTTTTTTTAAGATAAGCAAGAAACTACACCAAAAAAAAAAAGTGTTTGCAAAATGAGGAATATTACTTGCACACAATAAGGAAGAAGACTTGCAAATTTTATGAAATTTCTTGAGTAATTTTTTGAAGACGCGTGGAAGAGATATATACAAAAAAATGTGGAATAATGTTTGTTAAATAAGAAAGATGTACATAAAAATAAGGAAAGATCACTTAGAAATTTCATCTTGCCTGAGCATGCACGGGTCTCACTGTACTTTTTATTAATTAATATTTGTAATTAAAAAGTAATATATGATGTATTAAAATGTGATCGGTTGATTAGTATGAGCCCCGTTGTATCCGAAATTAAAAATATTTTAAAATAAAAAGCAAGGCTAATGAGTGAGAGTGTGAATGGATGATTGGTTTGTGTCCCACGTTATATCTTTATGTTAAATCAAATGACTTTTCTAGACATAAAATCATAAATTCACATTCTAATTTAATTCCTCTCAATAACTATGTTCTTTAAAAAAATAATTTTCTAAAAGCAAATCCTTTTTCCCCCAATTAATTTTTTGATCGAATGTCCTTTTGAAAGTCCACCCAAGAGGGGTGAATTGGACTTTATAAAATTTGACTAATAAATACAATAATAAAATACAAGATAGAAAGATATCACTAAATGCCTAAGAGAGTAGGGAAGATAAGCTTGCATAGATAGTTTATCTAGGTTTGGCTCCAATCCTTTGAACCTATGTCTAGTTCCCAAGTACTAGTTAAGATTTTCTCCACTAACTTCAGCAAGGGACTTGATTGTCTTACTATAGTCCTAAACTTATATTTAAGTTTAAATCGCTCCCTTTTATAAAGGTAATGATTAATCCCCCTTAAACTCCTGAGATTAAGATCATTTATTTCAAGAATAGAAAAGAGAGATAAACATAGTAAGTTTGAGAATTGACTACTTTCGTCACTCTCTCAAAAAGTTAATTTACAATAAGTGAAGCTCAGATAAATTTTAGAAGTTGGTGAAACCATAAATGAAATAGCTCATGTAATAACTCTTGTATTTGTTCTCTTGCATCATATTCATGAATGCTTCTTTATATAGATTCTTCAATAAATGATATGTTGGACTCGTGAATATAGCCACTAGAGTCATCATTTTTACTCTTCTAAACTTTTTTTTTAAAAAAAAAAGGCAATGGCACAGTACTTTATGGTGGAGTTTCTCCTTTGCAATAAATAAAGAAAGTAATAGTTCTTTGCAATAAATATTATGACAAAGTTAAGTGAGAGTTTTTTCTAGAAGAATAAAGGCTATTTGAGAGTAAGGATTTTGAAATAATCAAGAAGTGTTTAATCTAACATGAAATTGTATTGAAAAGGTTTTTACAATGATTAGAGAGCTAATACAACTCATATAAATTGAAAGGAATGTTTAGAGAGAGAGACTCAAAAAGACGCAAAACCAATTGAAATATAAAGCATGAAATTTCATGCTTATTTAGGAACAAACAAGCTTGTGCCAAAATAATGAAGAACACAGAACACTTAGAAGTACAAGATTGGCTCTTTTAGAATATCAATCTTGTATCAAAATAAATTTATGCATATGATTAATTGAAAATCTTTATCTAGGAATAAAAAAAGCTATTTTCAAATAAGCTATTTTTAAATAAACTAAGATGTCAAGAAAGGCTTTGAGAAAGCAACAACTATTCTTAAATAAGGGTGCTATTCCTGAAGGTGCAAAAGAGTGGTTACTTAGGAATAAGGATCAAAAACATGAATAATTTATTCCAAAATGAATGTCACACCTCAAAGATAAAGGGTGACTAGCATCCATGCATTCATGTAAGCCTTAACATAAAAATTTAATCTGCTTTCTAAAAAAAATTACATTACATAGAAATTATCACTCTTTTACTATTAACTGTCATAAGAAAACTTCAATATTTTTGTAAAAATTTTAACAGAATTTTCCCTATAAATAGGATCTCTCAAAAATTTTACAACAAATTTTTTCACAAAATACAATATCAATCAGGAGTTTAGCTCCTTCCAACAGCCACAATATATATATAGATCAAAATAAAACATTAACAACAACCTATGTGGAGCATTAATCTTTCTTTTACATCAAACACACACACGACTTATATATTTACATCAAAAGTAACAGTATCAATCAAATTTTTCACCTAATGTAGCTATATTACCTTTCAAAGGTTGATGGTGAGATCAGTGTCAGCTAATAAATTTAAAATCAAAATAAGTTTTTCAATGAATAGCATTCTCAAAGTAGAATTTAAAATTTTAAATTAACAAACTCAAATAATGGTGTAAACTATTAAAAAATAATTTAACAAAATAAATTTGTAAATCTGTAAGTTGTAACCATCATGGTAAAATGAGAGTAAATTGAAAGCAATTCATTTTCATTTTCATTTTTTTCATGCTTAAAGAAAACCAGTTATTCACACATAAATCAAAGTAACATAATTGTTAGCGAAAATCATGTAAATTTTGAAAACATATATAAGTCAACTTTTAAAATTTTGAGAATTCAATAAAACAAATAACAAATGTGAACACACAGTCCACGAGGTTAATAATCAAATGTGACTTATGCCATAAAAACAAATGTGGACACACAATGCACGATGGTAAGTAACTAAACATAGCTGAAGCTATGAAACAAAAGTAGACACATAGTTCACAAGGGTAAGGCTAACCAAACACGGCTCGGAGCCACAAAATAAATGTGAGTACGAGGCCCGCAAATAAAAAATATAAGAACAGAGCTCATGAAAAGAAAATTAGTTAATTATTAACCATAGTGCTATGGACTAACAGAACTGCCGTTAGCAGCAGTGTTCTGTTTAGAGTTCTCTTAAAAATCATGTTTCAAACATGTGAGAGAAATAATTAATTTTGAAATAAAATTTTCATTCTCAATACCAAACTCACATGAATTATTCTAAATTTCAAAATTTGTGAAAATCATAATTTATAGCTAATATACGAAACATGTAATAATTGAGTAGCCAATGTATTTCAAAACTTAACAACCATATAAGAATGCTTTCATCAATCTTAAAAATACACTTTTAGAAATAAATAAATGCATTTCATAACTCGTTTGTCTTTCATTACTATTTCATAATTTTTAAAATTAATGTAATTCATAAGAATAAAATATTTTAGTAAAAGACTATTAAAAATAAATTAAATGAAATGCTATTCACTTACTTGTTGGAGTTTTAAATTTCCAAAGATTTCTTCCTTTAATTCTTGTCAGGGTCTTGTTCTTCTGCCTGCACTATAAAGATATAAATAAATATAATCTTAAACAAAACTCCAAATTAATAATCACTATCTAAAATTCAAAGCCAATTTTATGATTTAAAATTGGCCCATGTATTATCATTCATCATTATGACTTCTTCCATAAAACTTTAACCATGCCATTCCATTTCTTTGATGTAAAATTTTAATATTTTTATTAAAATAAATAAATATTTGATTTTATACTTAATGTATTTATTTTTTATTAACGTGAGTAGATTTCATGAAAAATTTTATGATATAGTTGAGACTTTTTTTAAGATATGGAAGATAGTACCCAAAAAAGTGGAAGTGTTTGCAAAAATAAGGAATATTACTTGCACACAATAAGAAAGAAGACTTGCAAATTTTATGAAATTTCTTGACTTTTTTTTTTGAAGACACGTGGAAGATATACAAAAAAGAAAAGGATGAATGTTTGTGAAATAAGAAAGATGGACATAAAAATAAGAAAAAATCACTTGGAAATTTCAACATGCCTGAGCATGGGTGTCACTGTACCTTTTATTAATTAAAATTCGTAATTAAAAAGTAATATATGATGTATTAAAATGTGATTGGTTGATTAGCACGAGCCTCATT